CGCCCTTTCCTGAAACCGCATTGGGGCTCCGCAAGCCTCTCCTCAGCGTGCCTGGCAAGGCGATGTTGAATAATCCTTGCCAGGACCTTTCCCGGCACACTTAGGAGTGACATGCCCCTGTAGTTGTTACAGTCTGGGCGGTCCCCCTTCTTAAAGAGGGGGACCACCAGGGCATCCTTCCAATCCTGCAGAACCCGTCCAGTGGTCCAGACTGTTGTTATGATGTCATATAGGCCAGTCTGTGCACAAACGCCACCCTCCCTCAGCATTTCGCTTGGGAGATCATCTCTGCCCGCTGCCTTTCCTGGTCTCAGACTCCTGATCGCCTTCAATACTTCCTCAACAGATGGCACTTCAGCCAGCCACTCACAGGGGGTGACTTCTTCAAATATTTGAGGCACCGCACCCTCAGCAGGGTCATCCTCACTTTGTGCCACGATGTTGTTCTCCTGGCTGAGGGATTTTCCCTCCCCCAGGACCTCACAGAAATGCTCAGCAAATCTGCAAACCTTGTTCCTGGGGGTCGGAGATTGGATCACCGTTTTTTCCCCTAATGATGGTAATAGGTGTGGCGCTGCAGGTTACTTTTTTGATGGAGTTAAATAGAGATTTGTGATCGTGGGCCACTGAGGCAGACTCTATCTCCTCAGCAACCTGCGACCACCACTCATCCTTGCAGCGCCTCACGGCTCTCTACGAACCTCCGAGCAAAGGCTGCGGTAAGCCTCCTCATTCTCTGACGTGGGATTCTGTAGCCGATGACAGTGGGCCTGTCGCTTTTTCTCAACCATCCTGAACACCTCCTCTGTCAGCCAGGGTCTCTGTGGAGGTCTGGACCGCGTACCCAAAGCAGCCATTGCAGCTGCATGAGTCACAGTCCTAAACCTCACCCATTTACCCTCGACATCAGGAGGAGTGGGAAACGATGCCAACCCCAGCCGCAGGCGATGATGAAATTCTCACTTGCAACTTTCATCAGATAACTGAGACCAGGCCACTTTTGGTTGGAATGGGGTCCTGGGTGTACACCCACCACCGGAGCAGAAGAATGGCAGGCGCATCTTGCAGATGACAAGTCGATGGTCAGAGGGCCGATCAGCTCCACGGTAGATCCTGGTGTCAAGGACATGAGCTCGCATTCACTGGTCCGTCACTATGTAGTCCAGCAGATGTTCCTGCTTGGACCCGGCATGCATCCATGATGTTGTGTGGATGTGCCGATGCCGGAACAGCGTGTTGGTAATTACAAGCCCATGGGCTGCACAAAAATCTAGCAGCTTGCTACCGTTGTTATTGAGCTGATCCGGCCCATGCCCTCCAATCACTCTAGACCAGGTGCCAGCATCATGACCAACTCGGGCATTGAAGTCACCCAACAAGATTACTCTATCCCGAGGGGCCACTTTAGCCAGCACTTGTGACAGGAGGTCATAGAAGGCATCTGACTCATCGGCTTTGCCTGCATCCCTCCACGGATGTTCGTCTTCGGTGGGGGCATAAGTAACCACGACCACCAATCCTCGCCTCCGATTGATGGGAAGGCGAGCCCAAAGTAGCCTGGGGCTTACAGCTTCCCACACCTCACCGCCACGCTCCCACGCTCCTTTCATTCTTTTGTTCAAAAGAAGAGCCACACCCTGTTGTTTGGCAGTCTGCTGCCCCGAGTAGAGGACTGTCCACCCCTCATGGTGGCAGGAGCCAGAACCGGTCCACCTGACCTCCTGAATGCCACAGAGATCCAGGCGGTACCGGTCCAGCTCCCGACAGAGGAGTGGCAGCCTCTCCTCCGCAGTGAGCGTTCGAACATTCCACATGGTCAAACGAAGTGGCTTTTCGTTGTTTCTGGAGGAGCCCCGAGGGTAGCGATTTAATCTCCTGGCTCCGCCAATAGGGGTTTGGCCAGGAGACGTCATAGACGCCTGTCCCCCTGGGGCCTCCGGCACAAGCTTATTAGTTACATATTTAAGTCGTAGTTTCGTGGTAATTTTTTGAAGGTGGAGGGGTTACCAGCCCCTCGCACCCGTCCAGAGCCCCCGTTTAGCCCCTGTGGTGGTCACAGACGCCATGAGGGGAGGAGCCAATCGGAATTGGCCCTCCCCCCACAGCACTGTTCACGACAGAATTGCCCGTCCGGCACCGCGAGGAGGTAGCGGGTTGTTTTGCCGGACTACACTCACACACTCACTCACACACACTCACACATTCACTCTCATACACACTCACACTTACACACTCACTCACACACACACTCACACACACTCACTCTCACACATACTCACACTTACACACTCACTCACACATACACACACTCATTCTCATACACACTCACACTTGCACACTCACTCACACTTACACACTCACTCTCATACACACTCACACTTACCCACTCACTCACACACACTCACACACTCACTCTCATACACACTCACACTTACACACTCACTCACACACTCACTCTCATACACACTCACACTCTCACACATACTCACACATTCACTCTCACACACACTCACTCACTCTCACACTCATTCACACCTTCACTCACACACTCACACATTCACTCACACTCACGCACTCCCACACCACTCACACACCCTCACAAACACTCACACACTCATTCACACACTCACTCTCACAAACACTCACTCACACACTCATTGACACACTCACTCTCACAAACACTCACACACCCACATTCACGAACTCACTCACACACACTCTAACACACTCACTCACACTGCTCACTCCACTCACACCGCCCACTCACACACACACTCAACCCACTCACTCCATTCACTCACACCACTCACTCCATTCACTCACTCCACTCACTCGCACCAGTCACACAATCACTCACAACACTCACACACTCACTCACACCACGCACTCCATTCACTCACACCACTCACTCCATTCACTCACTCCACTCACTCACACCACTCACTCCATTCACTCACTCCACTCACACCACTCACACACTCATTCACACCACTCATTTAGTCACACCACTCACTCACCCCACTCATTCACTCACCCCACTAATTCACTTACCCCACTCATTCACTCACCCCACTCATTCACTCACCTCACTCATTCACTCACACCACTCATTCACTCACACTACTCATTCACTCACTACACTCACTCACACCACTCACTCCACTCACCCACCCCACTCATTCACTCACACCACTCATTCACTCACTCCACTCACACAATTCACTCCACTCACTCACTCACACCACTCACTCACACCACTCATTCACTCACTCCACTCACTCACACCACTCACTCTACGCACGCTACCCACTCCCACATCCTTCACTCACTCCTCACTCCCCCCTCCCCGCGAGTCACCCTCGCTCTAATCGCTCAAATCAAATCGTCCACGCCACTTTGGGCCGCGTTTGAAGTCCGATTTTATTGGCGGCTGGGCCGCGGGGAGTGGGGTGCGTGAGCGTGGGGGTGTGTGTGAGTGTGGGGGTGTTAGTGTGTGTGAGTGTGTGGGTGTGTGTTAGTGTGGAGTGTGTGTGAGTGTGGGGTGTGTGTGAGTGTGGGGGGTGTTTGTGTGTGTGAGTGTGGGGGTGTGTGTGAGTGTGTATGAGTGTGGGGGTGTTAGTGTGGAGTGTGTGTGAGTGTGGGGGTGTGTTTGAGTGTGGGGAGTATTGGGGGTGTTAGTGTGGAGTGTGTGTGAGTGTGGGGGTGTTAGTGTGGAGTGTGTGTGAGTGTGTGTGAGTGTGGGGAGTGTTAGTCTGGGGTGTGTGAGTGTGGGGGGTGTGTTAGTGTGGGGTGTGTGTGAGTGGGGGGGGTGTGTGATTGAGAGTGTGGGGGTGAGTATGGGGTGTGTGTGTGTGTATGGGGGTAGTTGGGAGGAGGTAGTGTAGTGGTTAGCGAGTTGCGCTACGAGCCCAGCGAGCCGAGTTAGATTCCGCTCACGGCCAACGCCAGTGACGATTCTCTGAACCGGTCCTAAGCCTTCGCTCGGTCGACTCAAATGAGTACCTGGTGCGATATGTGAATATCAGCACTGGGGAGACAAAGGTGGCCGGACGTGGTGCGATCCACCGAACCCTCGCGTGCCGTTCCGGCCTTCATTGTGTTCACACACAGCGCTAGCCCCAACAGTCTATTAAAGGGGAATCTTTGTATGAGAATATATTTGAGTGTGTATGAGTGTAGGGAGGTGTTTGTGAGTCAGAGTGGGGTGTGTGTGTGTCAGGGTGTTTTCGTGAGTAACTGGGCCTCCTCTAGGTCGACTAAGCCTCAAATAAGTACCGGGTGTGATGTGTAACATTAACACTTTGGAACACAAATGCGGCCGGGCGTCGTGCTGGTCACCCACCCCCTCATGTGCCGTGCTCGCAAACAGCACTTGGCCCAACAGTCTGCTAAGGCTACACGGGGAATCCTGTGTGTGTGGGTTGTTTGTGTGTGTATGTGTGTGTGGGTTGTTTGTGTGTGTGGGAGTGTGAGGGTATGTGTATGTATGTATGGGTATGTGTGAGTGTAGGGGTATGTGTGCATGTATGGGTAGGTGTGAGTGTAGGGCTATGTGTGCATGTTATGGGCATGTTGAGTGTAGGGGTATGTATATGTGTACGTGTATGTATGGGTATGTGTGTGTATGTATGTGTGTATGTATGTGTGTATGTATGTGTGTGTGGGGTATGTGTGTGTATGTATGTGTGTGTATGGGTATGTGTGTGTATGTATGTGTGTATGTATGTGTGGGGTATGTGTATGGGTATGTGCGTGTATGTGTGAGTGTATGGGTATGGGTGTGTATGGGTGTAGGGGGTATCGTGGGGTGGGTGTGTATGGGTGTAGAGGGTATCGTGGGGTGGGTGGTGGGTGTAGGGGGTATCGTGGGGTGGGTGGGTGGGTGTAGGGGGTATCGTGGGGTGGGTGGGTGGGGGTAGAGGGGGTATCGTGGGATGGGTGGGTGTAGAGGGGGCCTCGTCCCCCCGCCCCCTCCCCGCTCACCCCCTGACCAATGGGCGCCGCGTGGGGCGTGGGGCCCAGCGCGGCGCGCGCCGTAAAGCGACGCGGGGCGACTCCGCGGGTCGCGGCAACTTCCCAGTCGCGGCGACTCGGGAGGCCCTCCACCACCTCCTGCTGCTGCTGCTCCTCCTGCTGCTCCTGCTGCTGCTGCTCCTCCTGCTCGTCGTCTCGGGAAACAGGAATCGGATCGGGCGACTGATGATGATGATGATCTGCTCGCTCCGCGTGACTCTGATGACGAGGATGATGCTGATCTTGTGCTGATGATGATGCTGCTGATGATGATGCTGCTGATGAAGCCCGGCCAAGCGTTGCGCGCTTGTTGACGTACGCCCTTGAACCGGCTGGCTGCGTCTCCCGACCGACCGCCTTGATAGCAAACCCCGGTTCATCCACCGGAGCTCGCTCGGTCTGACCATGAGCGGAGGTGGAGGTGGTGGAGGAGGTGGCGGTGGTGGAGGAGGAGGTGGTGGAGGAGGAGGTGGCGGTGGGACGTTGCACGGCGCCGGGGTGGACAAGCAGTCACCTTTCTCGGGCGTCGATCCCGGGGTCAGTCTGCAGGCGCCCAAGAACTTCTCCGTGAGCCACCTCCTGGATCTGGAGGAGGCGGCGGGGGCTCTGCGCAGGGTCCAGCAGCCCCCGGGGTCGAGGGGGGCCGCGCCCGACGAGGACGAAGTGGGGGGGGGTCGGGGCCTCGCCTGCGCGAGGCAGATGGAGCTGGGGGGCCTGAGCAGCGGCAGTGACACGGCGCAGCCAGAGGGTACGAGAGCGTGTGTACACGTGTATGTGTACACGGTGTGTGTGTGTACACGTGTGTGTGTGTGAATACACGTGTGTGTGTACACGGTGTGTGTGTGTACACGTGTGTGTACACGGTGTGTGTACACGTGTACGTGTGTACACGTGTACGTGTGTACACGTGTACGTGTGTACACGTGTACACGGTGTGTGTACACGTGTACACGGTGTGTGTACACGGTGTGTGTACACGGTGTGTGTACACGGTGTGTGTACACGTGTTTGTGTGTACACGGTGTGTGTGTGTACAAGTGTATGTGTGTGTACACGTGTTGTGTGTGTACACAGTGTGTGTGTACACGTGTGTGTGTACACGGTGTGTGTACGTGTGTGTACACGTGTGTGTACACGTGTGTGTACACGGTGTGTGTGTACACGGTGTGTGTGCACACGTGTGTGTGTACACGTTGTGTGTGTGTACACGTGTGTGTGTACACGTTGTGTGTGTGTACGTTGTGTGTACACGTGTTGTGTGTGTACACGGTGTGTGTGTGTACACGTGTATGTGTGTGTGTACACGTTGTGTGTGTGTGTACGTTGTGTGTACACGTGTTGCGTATGTACACGTGTGTGTGTGTGTACACGCGTGTGTGTGTGTACACGCGTGTGTGTGTATGTGTACAACTTCATAGGTGCTCGCTAACAAAATTTACCCCAACAGTCTGGTAAGGCTATACGGGTCATCTTTGTCTTTGTGTACAAGTATGTGCGTACTCGCGTGCGTATAAAATGTACACACATGTGCGTACACATGTGCGTGTGTATATGTGAGCACACGTGTGTGTGGCGTGTGTATACACGTGTCTTTGTATACTGTATGTGTGGGTGTGCGGGGAGCGGTGGCGCAGCGGGTAGCGCACTGCATTACGAACCAGGCGACCCAAGTTTCATTGCTAGATTACTTACAATAATAGTGGCGGATATCTCCTAGGTCGAGTTAGCCTTCATTTAGTACCTGGTGCGGTGCGTAAACATCAGCACTGGGGAGACAAAGGCGGCCTGGGCGTGGTTCTGACCACAGCCCACTCGTGTGCCATGTCTGCTTCTATAGGTACTCGCTAACAGCACTTGCCCCAGCAATCTGTTGGGGCTACACGGAAGATCTTTGTTTGTTCTGTGTGAGTTTTCAGATGTGTGAGTAGGTGGGTTAACATGTATGTTGACGTGTGTCTGTGTGTGCCTATGTGGGTAGCGGTCGTATCGCGGTGAGCGTTACGCTGCGCTACGAACCCAGGTAGCCGGGTTCGATTTCCGTTCACGGCCAACACCGGTGACGATTATCTAAACCTGTACTGGGCCTCCCCTAGGTCGACTCAGCCTCAAATAAGTACCTGGTGTGGTGTGTAAAAACATCGCCACTGAGGAGACAAAGGCGGTCGGGCGTGGTGCTGGCCACCCACCCCCTTGCTAACAGCATTTGTCCCAACAGTCTGTTCAGGCTATACGGGGGTTCTTTGTCTTTGTATATGTGCGTGTGTTAACGTACTCGTGTCTGCGTTTGCACGTATGTACGTGTGTTGGTGTTTACGTGTGTGTGTGGGGAGCGATAGTGTAGCGGTTAGCGCGCTGCGCTATGAACCTGGCGACCCGGGTTCGATTCCCGCTCACAGCCAACACCAGTGACGATTATCTGAACCGGTCCCAGGCCTCCCCTAGGTCGACTCAGCCTCAAATGAGTACCTGGTGCGGTGTGTAAACATTGCCACTAGGGAGACAAAGGCGGTCGGGCGTGGTGCCGGCCACCCACCCCCTCGTGTACCGTTCCGGCCTTCATAGGTGCTCGCTAACAGCACTTGCCCCTACAGTCTGTTAAGGCTATATGGGGATCTTTGTTTTGTCTTTGTGTGCGCATCTCAACTGCGTCAGTAAACGTATGCGGCTGTTTTCGTTAGTATACGTGTGTGTGTTCGTGTGTGTGTTCGTGTGTGCATGTCTGTGTACCGTGTCTGTTTATTGGCGTATCTGCGTGTATACGTGTGCCTCGTGTGTAGAGTTTTATGTATTTGTGTATACTATGTATATGTTTATGTGTATACGTGGGGAGCGGTAGTGTAGTGGTTAGCGCGTTGCGCTACGAACCCGGCAACCCGTGTTCGATTCCCGCTCACGGCCAACACCAATGACGATTGTCTATACCGTTTTTGGGCCTCCCCTAGGTCGACTCAGCCTCAAATGAGTGCCTGGTGAGGTGTGTAAACATTGCCACGAGGGATACAAAGGCGGCCGGGCGTGGTGCTGGATACACCACTCCCGCGTGTGCTGTAGCGGCATTCGTAGGTGCTACAAAGGTCTGTTAGGATGTACGGCGGATCTATGTCTATGTATGGATAGGTGTGTCCGTACGCGTGTTCGTGTCCATCCTTAATTTAGCACGGTACCTGGTGCCATGTGTAAACAGCAGCAGCGGCCGGGCGTAGTAGTGCCCCGTGTCTGTGTGTGTGTGTCTGTGTGTGTGTGTCTGTCTGTGTGTGCAAGTGGGGAGTGGTGGTGTAACTGTTACCGCGCTGTGCTACGAATCTGGCGGGCCGGGTTCGATTCCCGCTTACGGCCAACACCAATGACGATTATTTATACCGTTCTTGGGCCTCCCCTAGGTCGACTCAGACAAAGGCGGCCGGGCGTGGTGCTGGCCACCCATACGGGGGATCTTTGTCTTTTTTGCGTGCAAGCAAGTGGGCAGCGGTGGCGTAGTGGTCAGCAAACTGCGCTACGATCGCAGTGACCCGAGTTCGATAATTCGGCAGCAGCATCATCATCAGCACTTCCATCATTATCAGCATCGGCAGCAGCATCATCATCAGCACTTCCATCATTATCATCATCGGCAGCAGCAGCATCATCATCATCCGTCATCGCGACTTGCCGTACGCCAATAAGGAACGCATGACGAATTAATTAACGCGGTGAATCACGCGCACATTAATTACCCTTAATTGGCGTCACGTGACTTAGTCCGAGAGCTCGGTGGTGTTTGCAAACTCCTTTTCCTGTTCTCTCTGGGGAGCAACAGGCGAGAGGCGCGTCACAGGTTCGAATCCAGTACCGATGGTTAAACCGCCCCACCTGCACGAGACCATGAGCAGTGTCACTCACTCCGGGGGCCACCTCCATCGAGTCTCGAGACTCTCTTGCCAGGAGCGTGCTGCTGCTGCTACATGGGGGATGTTTTGGCAATTTATCATTTTAATAACGAGACACGAACCCCATGGTTTGCGCGGCTGTGGAGAATATATAAGGACGCGATAGACGAGCAGACAATATCTCTGCACATAGCAAAAGAAACGTATTCTCTACACAACCCACAACGAGGGTCTGGGGACTCCCGGAGACCCCGGAGAATCCCCAGCACCGCGCAGGACACGAGGGGGGCGACACTCGCTGATCCACACGAACCCCGACTTGCTGTACCGTAATTACATGCCCAGCTCCCAAATCCAGTGTGTGGTTGTGGAGTTTAAAAATAACACTGTCATGCTTTCGTTTGACATCGCGTCATGATCGCCTGCACCACACGTGGCCTCAGGGGGGACCCAGCCGGCGGGTTCGATGCCGGGTTCGAGAGACTTCCTCGAACCGAGCTCGTAGTCTCTTCAGTGCGCGCCCCTTCACGGCTCACGCCTTGTTCTCCGGATTATAAGACGCCCCGGAAAGTAAGACGCACTCCCACACTCGTGATCGCTGTCAATAAAGTTATACAACGACAGAGACCCCCCGTATAGCCTTCAATAGACTGTTGGGGAAAGTGGTGTTAGCAAGTAGCACCGATCAAGACCGGCACGGCACACGAGGGGGTGGTTGGCCAGGACCACGCCGGACCGCCTTTGTCTCACCAGTGGCGACGTTTGCACGCTGTACCAGGTACTCATTTGAGGCTGAGTCGACCTAGAGGAGGGCCAGGGCCGGTTCAGATAATCGTCACCGGTGTTTGTGGCCATGAGCGGAAATCCAGACTCGGGTCGTCAGGTTCGTAGCGCAGCGCGCTGATCGCTACGTCACCGCCACCGCTCATGAAGTGACACGAATAGGGCGACAGACGCCCAAATGCACACGCGTACCGGTCTATAAGACGCACGCTTTATACAGGTGCGTCTTATAATCTGGCTGCTCCGGTCCCCAGCCGCTGCCCACGCGAGTTGCGGGCGGGATGGTTCTCGCGGCTGCTGCTCCTGCCGCTGTGGGTCTCCCACGTGTACTCTCGGACTGTACTGGCACGCGTGGTTCGGCACGACGTCCGACGTTTCGCTCCACGTGCTGGGGAGCTTCTTCAGGGTCACTACATTGAGTTCCTGAGTTGTATGGAATTAATATAACTGTAGAAGCCCCCAGCACGTGTGGAGCGAAACGTCGGAACGATGCGTCGCAGCTACAACCCGAAAACCACATCTGAGAGCTAGAACTACAGGTGGGCAGGCAGGCGTACAGACAGGTAGCTTGACATACAGAGAGATCAACAGGCAGGTAGATGTTCAGAGAGACTGGCATACAGACGGACATACAGACACACAGGCAGACCGATACACAAACAGGCAGACGCGATTGTAAGGACGCGCAGTATTAAGTTGCGCTTTGTTTTTTTTTTTAAGTCGTCACTGCTGAGATGTGTTTACGATTTCGAAAAATATTTACCATTCCCACGCCTCTCGTGAACCCTAAAATACACGTGACCACACAGCAAACCACGCGCGTGACCACGACAACAGCACACACCTCACCACACGTGGTCACACCGCCGCTAATCACGGTGAACCGCAACACCGGACCACGTGGACATTATCACACACGCGCGTGACCACACACGTCTAACCCTACCTCCTGTTTGACCGAGCACGTGACAACTACCCACACCTGACCACACACGTGGCAGCTCGCAATCTGACCGGTGGCCTGACCACACATTGAACTTTGACCCCAACCCTAACCACGCGCCGAAGTGATCACAGCCTACTTGGGGGATCAAGATCA